GGGTTTAGGAGGGGTTTCAGTACTTATTGAACTAAAATATATCGCCGCAGGCGAAACCGACGAGATTTTGGGGATTTGTGTCAAAAATTTCTTGACCTTCCGAGCCGGGCTTGCTTACATGTGGTAGCGAGCGCCACACACACATGCGCATAGCGGTTGAGAAAGAGGCTTTTACCAGAACAAGCTCAACAGGGTTTTTCAAGCATCCCTAGCTTACAGGACCCGAAAACTAACGTAGTTTTGCCTTCTTGTCCGCCATAAGAAGCATGTAATAGCGGGACCGCTATAGCATGTATGCAGTATGCAAGCACAAACTTTAACGGCCCATAACTTTTTTGGACATGTTAAAGCACGTCGAAACTTTGTACTTTTACATAAATTTTAATGAGCTATTAAATGATACCAAGCTCAAGGGGGTAGCGGAGGTTTAAATTTTTTACGCATATGAAAGGTAATAGGCATTACGGCCTCGCCCGTTCAGGATGCCAGCGGCTTTTCCAACGGCCCGGAATAATGGGCCCTTTTTCTGTTCTGGTTCGGCCAACGGTCCGGGTCATCCAGTATGAAGTGATTCACCGATTTATTCGGCCTATTTTTCTAAAAAAAATTGAAATTAGACCAACATTTTTCAAAAAGAACACTTGCCGGGCCATGATGAGCTTTGAAAAAATTGATTTCCGGTTCGCACGGCCGGCCTACAATCTTAAGCACGCGCAACCTCCTGCAGCCAATCCCACACTGGCAAAACGAGGGAACAACCATGCGGCCCCTTTGCTGAATGACCACTGCCCCCCCCCCCTCCCATACACACATAGGCTTATGTTAGCAATTCTTGAGCGCCAAAGCAGGAAAATGCTCGCTACGGTTTATGCTGCTTGTAGTCGACACTGAGACTTGCCAAAATTTCAGATGACACTGAACCTCGGCTAGCTGATACTGAACAGACCAGAATTACGCCTAGTTCCGTATCTGCTAATAATTTTTAGCGGATATTGCTTTTTTGGCGTTACTTTTCAGTGTGTGGCTTTTTTGAAGCAGCATCGCCGACGCAATTTCGGCCGCGATAAGTCCGAACCGCCGACGAATTTGAGGCTCAAGTGGGTCGTTCTCGTAGGTCATAAGTGCCTTTCCTCGCATCCAGCGCTTCCGCAAGGGTCCCGGTCATTGTATCCGTGCTCGGCCATAACTGACGTACACTTACGTATACGGCCCGCGGCGCATTGCGCGCAGGAGAAAACAGGCACGCGCCGACCGACACGAACAAGAACAATCATTTGTTCCTTAAGCCGAAACACTCGAAACCACCTCCGGACTCAGCGCGTCTGAAAGCTCCCCTACACCCATCGTGACATATCTCTGTCTGCTCCACCTGGAAAGCCGATTACCGTGTTTCCCTAATAGAGTTCTCATCCACCTCCTGCGAGTAGAACCTCCCACCTCGCAGACCCACCCCCCCCCCCCCCCCGGCACGAAATTTCCGGCTTGACGTCCGTGGGATGTAGACCTCCAATCTAGGGTCTATCGACGATAAATCGAGCTTGTTAAAGCGCCAAATGAAAAACAAGATTTTAAAAATTGTCTAAAACCTTAAGATTTGCCAAAATCGAGTGTCCGAACAACAAACCCCCAGGGGTCTACCGTAAATCCTCTAATTATAGCCCAGGGCCATAATTTTTTTGCTGCGGCCCAAAGGGGGCCATAATTAGAGGGGGGGGGCTTAATTATTTTGCCACTTCGCGGGCCGAAGGACCGCGGAAAATTGAGTAAATTTTGCCAAAAATCGGCCAAAATCGTCTAAAAATTCGTCAAAATCTGGTAAATTTTGTTAAGTTTGGCGACCATCCTACAGTGTTTTGCGTGTCTCCAAAGGTGTAATGGCAGTGTTCCGTCGGTATACCACAAGTGGGAGGTACCCTCTATTCGGATACATAAGGGTCCCCCTTTAGTTCTATCCAATGATGATGCAAAAGCCAAAAAATTAAAATTTTTTGTTTCACAAAAGTCTACCCCACAATGTTGCCCATGCTCTAAAACGTCGAGAAAACATGTTTCCCAGTAAGTCGAATTTTTTTGGACCCCGTGTTTCTAATTATAGCCCAGGGGGCCGTAATTAGAGGGAGGTCCATAATTAGAGGGGGGATAATTAGAGGGAGGGGTATAATTAGGGGTAATACGGTATTGGAGCAAATACGCACTAAAACCAACGTTAAACCAGTATCGGCTAGAAACATTAGCCGATAACGAAACTGGTGGATTTTCCGTCAGGTTGAGTATCGGGTCGACAGTTTTGAACGCAAGTAGCAACGGCTAGCGGAGCAGCTCACTTCGGCGCGAGACACACTTCGGCGAGAGCACATTTGTGTTCTCGCCGAAATGTGCCGCGCCGAAATGTGCCGCGCCGAATTGTGCTCGCGCCGAAATGTGCTCGCGCCGAAATGTGCCGCGGCGAAATGTGCCGCGGCGAAATGTGCTGCGCCGAAATGTGCTCGCGCCGAAATGTGCTTGCGCCGAAGTGAGCCTCGCGCTGAAATGAGATATACCGACGGCTAGCCAGTTTCGGTATCGGCTATCCGATTTTAAGTGGCAGTTTCAATATCGGCTGGAATTTCAGCCAGTTTCATCGGCTAAAATCAGTATCGGCAACAACGTGCGCAAATCATTAATGTTTGCGTTCTGTATTGTGCTGTGTTTAAATTCTGCATGGAGCCGCTCTTACCACCAGTCCATCTTGTTCCAGAATAGCCTAGTGACGCGATTTTAATTGAAATATTTTACTTGCCTGACCTAATCATGTTGTACAGCCTACACATACAATGAATTTAGGAACACTATAGACATTACAATGGATCATATTCCCTGATAGAAAAGCTACGCTGTCCGAAATGCGTGTTTATAGACTGGGCACAGTTGTTCTGCAACAACGGAAACGGCAGATGTTATGCTTTCCATGAGGCTTCTCAAATAGGTTACTTCCTCGATTCTCACCATTATTCTCTGCTTGGTAGCTTAAAAGTTGGTTCATACATAAGGAAAATTTTTTTGCGGAATAAAGACCATTTGCGCTAGCATGGGTGATACTGCGATACACGGTTTCGTCGGAGGTACGACTTTACTGCAACAGGTCACACTTCGACAAAAATGAAACCGGGCAAGATTGCTTAATTAGCTAAAATTTGGGCACTTAACGATAAAGTCAATTATGCAGTCACTCCTATCTTTATCTCCGATATTTCCTTTCAATATTTTATAGTTTTAACAATCTATTCACTGAAGGCTCGGCAACAGACAACCCACAATCTGGTTACCGTACATTTTGGCAAATTCATTTTGGCATAGTACGTTTTGGCATAGTACGTTTTGGCATGGTACATCTTGGCATGGTACGTTTTGGCATGAAAAAACTTGGCATGAAACAACTTGGCATAGTACGTTTTGGCATAAGTACGTTTTGGCATGAAAAAACTTGGCATGGTACATCTTGGCATGAGTACGTTTTGGCATGAAAAAACTTGGCATGAAAACACTTGGCATGGAACAACTTGGCATGAATAAACTTGGCATAAAGCACTTCACTTAACGGCTGTTCTGCGAATTCCCCGGGGTGCAGGGAGCCCTCGGACAACGTGAACCAGTCCTTTGGCAGCCCCAGCAGTGAGTGTGATTTTCGTATTTGCAGCAGAGCTAGTGGCCTTCCCCGAAGGGTCGGCTTCCAAAAATTACGTGTTTGCCTAAGGACCTTCGACAGTGGGACCCTGGGTGCGACTGCCGGGGTTGCCAAAAGACTGGTTCACGTTGTCCGAGGGCTGGTTATGCACGCGTTTCTCGGCCGACCGACGCAATAGAATGTGGCGAATACGTCTTCAAGACATTTTATGGACGAATGAACTCTTTGATTCTGCCAAGTAGATCCAAAAAAAGTATTCATGCCAAAACGTACCATGTACCATGCCAAGTTGTTTCATGCCAAGTTGTTTCATGCCAAAAAGTACTCATGCCAAAACGTACCATGCCAAGTTGTTTTATGCCAAGTTGTTCATGCCAAAACGTACTATGCCAAAACGTACCATGCCAAGTTGTTTCTGCCAAAATGTACGTCTTCCCCCACAATCTCTGCAGTTTGCTATTCTCTTACTTTGATACTTTGACGCCTTGTCGTCAATCCGTTGCGCCGAGGCGTTCCAGATGCAAGGCACACCGTTGTCGATACTGCTGACGGTCTTGTGCGATTTCTTTCCATTCTTCTCCGTGGACATCGATGACTGCGTCTTCCCATCGTGTTGGTATTCCCCAGTTCGGCGGTCGCTTTCCTTTCGGCTTCCAGCATGTGCAGCGCAGTGACGATTTGTCTTCGGGCATCCGGGCGACGTGTCCGGCCCATCGTAGCTTTCGCTTCCGTGCCTCGACGACTGCGTTCTTGAACTGGGATAGTTCTCAAACTTCTTCGTTCCGTCTTTCTTCTCGCATTGATATGCCGAGCGTGCGTCGTTCGATGGCCCTTTGGGTAACTGCTATGCGTCGTTCTTGGTTCTGAGTTGGAGCCCACGTCTCGCAGCCGTAGAGAAGAGCCGGAAGTACGGTTGTGTTGAAGAGGTTTGCTCGGAGCTTTACGTCAGTCAGGTTCTTTAGCCCATCTTTGACGTTGTTGTATGCATTCCATGCCGCTTTCTGCCGCCTTGTGATTTCGCCGTCTAGTTTGTGGTCCCAGCGAATTTCCTGGCCGAGGTATACGTACTTCCAGGTGCGGATGATGGTCTCGTCTCCTAGCTTTAGCTCTTGCTGTGTGTCGAAGTACTCAAGCCACTCCGTCTTCTGCCGATTGATTCGCAGTCCAACTGCCGTGCTGCGTTCGTCGAGCTCGTTTAGACGTCTCTGCACGTCCGCCATGCTGCGGCCAATGAGGGCGATGTCGTCCGCAAAGCGTAGATGTGTGAGTCTCCGTCCGTCGATGCTGACGCCCGCACGTTTGTCGCCTTCCCACTTCATGCTTCGGAAGATGGACTCTAGTGCCGCCGTGATGAGCTTCGGTGAGATGGTATCGCCCTGGCGGACATGCGGATCGGGTCTTGGAACAGCGTGATGTCCGTAGTGCATCCGGTGTTGGTCTCTTCGAGCAGACCCACGTAGCGGTGGTCGACTCCTTGCTCTTCAAGTGCGTTCCAGACGGCGTTCATCTCGATGCTATCGAACGCCTTCTCGTAGTCGATGAAGACGATGAAGAGGCGTTGGCCGAATTCTCGAGCTTTCTCTTGCAGCTGGATGATGGTCTGCAGGTGGTCCATCGTGCAGTATCCGCTTCTGGATCCGGCTTGCTCCGGTGGTTGTGCAGCGTCCAGCGTGTCCGTGAGCCGTTTGAGGATTAGCTTGGGGAAGACCTTGTAGACGACTGACAGCAGGCAGATCGGCCGGTAGTTGCTGATGTTCTCCGGGTCGCCCTTCTTGTACAGGAGCACGGTCTTCGATTCTTTCCACGCCTCCGGCGTCCGTCTCGTTTTGAGGCATGCGTTGAAGAGCTTTGCTAGCGCACTCCAGAGCGGTTGGCCTCCTGCTCGCAGGTGTTCCGCGGTGATGCCATCGGGTCCGGGCGCTTGCCGAGCTTCATGCTGCGAACAGCTTTCTTGACCTCTTCCCACGTGACAGACGGTAATGTCTCAGCGTTGTCGTCGGTTTCTGCCAGGTTTCGCTCCACGTGGACCTTGCTGTCGAAGAGCTGCGTGTAGAACGTTCGGCAGATCCCTTCGATTTCTCTTCGGTTTGTCTTTCTGCTTCCGTTGCTGTCCTTAAGAGCCGCCGTGATAAGCCTCGTCTGCGCGATTTCTCTGCTGCATTTCTTTAGGCTGGAGCGTTCTTCGGCTGCTCTCGTCATCCGCTCTTCTCTGTAGGTCGTGTGGTCGTCCATCACCTGTCGTCGGACTTCTGTCGCGAGTGCTCGGTATCGCTCGGCGTTGGCTTGGGTAGCTTTCAGCGTCTTCAGCAGGGCGAGCTTCTTTCTGGTGTCCTCTGACAGTCTTGATCGGAACTGCTCTTCCTCTTTGAGCGTTGCGGCTTTCATGCATCGCTTTAGCTTCTCGGTGAGCTGCTCGTATTGCTCGTTGATGCGGCCGTGCACCTTCCAGTCTGTGGCGTTCGCCTCCGCCTTCAGCGCACTGTAGTTGGTCTTCTTCGCGCGTGTGAGTGATGAGAGGAGGAGCTTCTTCTGCATCAGCTTGCCATCTAGCCGTATCGTTGCGCGTACTGGTCTGTGGTCGCTGCTACATCCGAAGCGGCTAAGGACCTCGACGTTTGTGACGCAGCTTCTATCGTCGCAGAGGACGTAGTCGAGCTCGCAGAAGAGGTCGAACGACGGTGACCTCCACGTCCAGCGCTTGTTCGGTGGCTTTTCGAAGAAGGTGTTGGCGACGTACAAGCGATGCGACTCTGCGAAGGCTGCCAGCTTTTCTCCGCTCTCGTTCCTCTGCTCGATCGAGTGAGGGCCGATGTATTTCTCGTCCTCCTTTCTGCGGCCAAGACGTGCATTGAAATCGCCGATGATCACTGTACGGCATGCGCCCTCCTCCAGCTGCTCGCCGACTCGTCGTAGAGTTGTTCGATGATATCGTCGTCGTAGCCTGAGTGTGGCGCGTACACCTGTACGATTTTGAGTGGTCGTCGCTGCCCGGGCACTTCGAGCTTCAGAACTGCGATTCGGCTGGAGACGATGCGGACGTCATGCACTCGTTTGCTGGCGGCCAGTCTCGGGTGAATTATGAAGCCGACGCCGCCTTTGTTCGCTGTCCGGTCGCGGGCGCCGATGTGGATCTCTGCTCCGAATAGTGTCCCGTCCGTCCACGTCCGGTGCGTCTCTTCCGTGCAGTGCGTCTCCGACAGTCCGATGACGTCGAAGTTCTCCATCAGGAACTCGAGGTCCTCCATGAGCACGGCCAGTCGATGTCCGTTGGAGTTATTCAGTCGTTCCGCTCCTAGTCCTCCCGCACCGAGATTGTACGACAGGATTCGGAGACTGTCAGGGCGGCTCCGTTGTTCCTTTTGATTGTCTGCAAGCAGTTCGCTGCCCATCCGCCGCGTAGCCGCCCGGCTACGTCTTCTGGACAGGTCCCCGCTCTCGATAAAGGTGCTGTTAGCTGTTGTAGGTGGCCCTCATGCGTGCGGCTTGCTAGGCCTGGGCGCGGAGGTGAAGTGGTCGTGGTTACCAGCTTCGGGGTCTTCGACGACGTCGCCACACGCCGTCTGCACGGAGGTTTCTGCGTGCATTTGAGTTGAACGGCTTGTTGCAGGCGTCTCCGAAGCGCTGTTTTGACGATATTCGGTTTGGTCGGGTCTGCTCCGTTCTTGTGCAGCCTTCATCCCGTATCCAGCGGCACCCGCCATCGTTGACGATGGCTTCGTGGAGGAATCGTCTTGCCGCCTTTGCTATTCTCATTGCTCGTTCCCATTCCACTGCGAAAGTGAGAGAGCGGATGAGGGAAATGGCTGCAGCGCGAGTACGGGAGCTTAAAGTAGATAATTCACTGAGAGCAGCGGTGGTCGAAGCCCACATGGTTAGGGAGCGGTAAGACCGAAGCAGCCTAAAGGACAGGACGGCTAGGAGCAGATTCGCTGCCAGGCCTACACGGAGGCAGATGTCGTCATTATCTGTTCCTGCTTGGACTCACCCGCCGCACTTGAGGAGGTAAAGGACCCTTGGGTGCCGGAGGTACGCCGCTACTGCAAAAGTTCTCCGATCATCCTGCTGGGCAAGCATGTGCGATCTACGAGCCGCTGCAAGGCGGTAGCAGGCAAAACGGTTTTTACCAGCGAAAGACGATCGGAAAGTGGTGGCCGATTTTGGTGCTCACTCGTACGTGGAATTCTCCGCCATGGATAGACCGATGGACTGCGCTGAAGAGGTCTTGAAAGCTACCACGCGTGATGCGCTATCGATTAGGATTAACAGCAGTATTCTTGTGCTAGTCTAAAACTATGGCTGACAAACCAAATGTATCCAGTCTCAGAATTAATGATCTGATTTGTTGCATTGGTCCGACGTCTCTGGATAAACTTTGCAGCTATGGCTTTGGAGCCTAAAGTGAGCATGCTCTGCCTATCAAGAGCCGCTTAATTTTATTGCCGCTCGAAAGCATGAAATGCATACAAGACAGCAAGAAAAAGAACCACATAGGGATGTAAATCCATAGGAGTGGGTTCGAAACAAGGAAATTAAACAACAAATTAACCGAGTACTGGATCCGTTAGTACTTGTATGGGGTCGAGGAGCGTGTGAAGGCGGTGAAGGCATCTACGTTGGTAATGGTGTCGAGAGAGGCAGGAAGGTTATTCCAGTAGTTTAAAACGCGATTCCAGAAGGCATGTTCGGAAGCAGAAGTGAACAAGGGCTTGTATATGTTTATGAGGAGACTAAAATAGTACGTTAGCATCGAGGTCATAATCACCGTTAAGCAGCTTGAACGTGACACGGAGATCAGCAAGAGCTCTACGGTGTTCTAGAGAGTCTAGGCCACAGATTTGGAGTCTGTGCTCGTAGGACTGGAACTCAGTTTTCTTCAGTTTTAGTACCGTTTATGTAAACGTTTTCTGTGGCTTTTCCATTCTTTTGATCAACTTTTTCAGATGGGGTTTGAAGACTTCAGTAGCATATTCTAGTCTTGGTCTGACGTAAGTCTTGAATGCCATCATGAAGAGGTTGAGGTCGACATTCGGTAGGGCCCTTATTAAGTGGCGGAGTGCAATGGTAGCTCCACGAACAATCTTGTTTATATGGGGTTCAAAGCAGTGTTTGGTAAGATCCCCCCCCCTCCCCTCC